ACAATAATCACAATAATCACAATAATCACAATAATCACAATAATCACAATAATCACAATAATCACAATAATCACAATAACCATAATAACCATAACAACCATAACAACCATAACAATCATAACAATCATAACAATCATAACAATCATAATAATCATAATCATGGCCAATTTCTGGAAAAAATAAAAGATAAAGTGGACAGTGAACAAACTTGGTTATGGTTAACAACAGGTACATTAAAGAAAGAAACAGAGTCACTAATCCTAATAATACAATTATTAATTATATTGTGAGCAATCCATATCCTTAATCAATAATAATGCCAATAATATCAAGAACAGTAGAATTAATAATCTTATAGCAATAGTAATAACAATGACAATAACAATGTTTCTTTGATAGTATTTTAACATTAGTTCCTAACCCTTAAGTTCAACCTTACACATGACCCTCCTATATTAAGTAGTTATATAAATCTTCTGAATTCCCTTAGTCCGTTTAATCTTCTTTCTCTCTCTCCAATCATTCTTTTAATAATGTCCAAAAGTTATCATCAATGTCCTCCAATAGTCAGGCCTCTGCTAGCCAAGGGGTTTAGTCACCAAATATTCTGCTTTCTCTTGAAGTACACTCTAGGGGAAAATTCCAGATTTCGCCAGTAGATGCCACTCTTCCATAAGATACCAAGATACAGACTAACAAAGTGCACAGCCAGTGTAAGCCATTTTATCTTTATGCTTCTTCTTCAGACCTTCAATAGTTAACTTATTTTCCCCTGCAGGCTTCCATGTTATCAGAGTTATTCCATGTTATCAGAGTTATTCACAGCCAGCCCTTGTTATGTTAACTAATTAAGTTTAGATTTGGCTCCCCAGACAGTTCAGAGAAGAAAAGAAAAAGTCTCCAGCCTCTGCTTCGACTATCCGATCTTCTTGCTTGCTTGTTGGCATCCAACTTCGCTCATCACTTTCCTCTCACCGCTACAGAGGGAGGGATAGAAAGGAAAAAGCCACACCCAGTCCCCGCTTCGAGCCCCTCAATCTCCTGGGCAATTTTGGAAAATAATACCATCCACAAAGATCAGGAAACTGATAAGCCACTCTCAACTCCCACAGTTTTCTCTGCTCAATCCCCGCTTGCTTTGAACAGGTGTCAGCACTCTGAGATGGCCATTACAGATTGCCCTCTTCCACGCCCAGAGTTATGAAGGAGATTTCAAGCCCAGACCACGAACTGCCATCCTATGTTCATGCCAAACCAACCTTCTCTTCAGTTTTCCCTTCAGGAAAACATCGGTTTACAAAAGTCTTTCAAGAAAAAAAAAAACCTCCCGAACACCAAACCCAGCTGCTCTTCACGGAGCTCTCCGTTCAAGCAACCATTTGTGCTGGCAGCTAGCCCCGCCTCTTCCTTCTTGAGAAGTTTTAACAATAACTCCCTTTTGCCAATTGTCAGGAAAGCATTGTGCGTGCCAACACATGTTTAAGAATCTAATCAACTCCATTACCAAATCTCTGCCAGCTTTCAAAAATTCTGCCAAGATCTTGTCTGTGTTGACAGATTTATAGCTGGCTTGAGGAACATCCAGCCTCCCCTACCACTGCATTCTCGCCTTCCATGCGGTGCCTCTGCCGGCGGGGCACCTCCCATTTCGCCTCACTTTCACCACCACCGCGGCTCTTGGAGGAAGGGATGCCAGCTCGGGGCTCGCTTCCCTTGCCGCTCACCATTGCTGCCCCTGCCGAACAGAGGGTTGGAAGCCAGGCCGGTCCCGGCCGATGGCTTGCTGCTTTCCTGGGCTGCAGCCAGCGGGAAGGGGGTGCAACATGCGGGAGACTTCCTACAGTTCCTCAGTTCCTCTGGGCTGCAGCTGAGCCCGCTGCCCTCTCCTGCTGACACCCTCTCCTCCTGCTGCCGCCCTCTCCAGCATGCAAAGCTTGGGGGCTGCAATGGTGACGGCTTCGGGAGACATTGGCCGGTGGGGGCGGGGGGCTAGGCTAGCACGAATGATGCTTACCTGTGTGTAGGCAGGAGGAGGCAGTTGTGTGGATGCATGTGGCAAAGGTGAGGCAGGGTAAGCGTCCAAGGGAACCGGTTCGGGGGTGTAGCCAGCCAGCCATCACTACCAATTTGGCGACCCACGCCCAATCACCACTACTGGTTTCCTCAAACCGGTCTGAACCAGGAGCAATCTACCTCTGATCCAAGGTTTTTGGTCAAAATGAGGATATGGTACATGAAATAATTTTGTAGAATGTGAAGGAGAGTTACCTGAAACCAGAAATAGTCTTCTGGATGACTGTTTCATCTAAGCTCTTGTCAAAAACATAGGAAAGAGCTGCAACAATAGGTCCCCAGGTCATGGCAAAGAGGTCATGATCATAGCTGCCAGGTGGAACATGCAGAAAGACTCCTTCTTCAGTGGCTCCACGGTGCAACAACACATTCCATACATAGTTTTCTTTTACTAAACCTGTCTGCTCATCAGGCATCACCACTTCTTCATTTCTTTCAAAGATGAATACAGATGAATACAGAAACGTTAAATGATCAATTGTTAAGATGCACTGTAGCAAATATTCTAAGATTTTATTTTATTTTACTTTTGTACCATTTTTTTCATATATAACACCAAGTGGTAAATGCATCAATATGCTTCTTTCTATCTATTTTTCTCACAACTCTGTGAGGTGAGTTGGTTTGAGAGACTGTGAATAGACAGTCTTTGTGAATAGCCAAAGACACCCAGACAGTTTTTCATGCCTAAGGCAGGACTACAACTGTCTACTGGCTGCTATGCTAGCCCTTCAGCCACTACATTAAAATAGCTTTTTTTTTAAACCACATTCTTCTGATAACTCTCTACTTCCAAGGATTAATTTATACTTACTTGATAGCATAATATATATCTTCTAACATCTCTTGGTCAAAATCTTTGCCACCATTTACTCCTTTCAGATTTTTTCGGAATTCCTGTAATTAGCAATGAAAGTACATTACTTTCTGATAAATTCTGAATTCTGCAAATAACCTTTATTGTGATATATTTTGAAATTCAGAGGCAACACATATCTTTGGAAGATTTTGGGATAAGTTTCTAAGCTACTACAATTCAAAGGAAAAAACATTGAAATAGAAGCAAGGGATCCTCTGAAAATGGCGCTCTGGTAGTTTTCTTTTCCATAATGCCAAACAGCTGATTTTGCCACCATCTATGGCCAGAGAATCAAGTCTCCGCCTTTTCCTTTTAGTTGTTCGAATTTTTAAGTGTGCCTCCAAATTTGAAATTGTTTTCTTTTCTTTTTGCTTTACATTTTAAATGTTAAACATCTGATGGAATGCTGAACTATCCTTACCCTCCCCCCCACACACACTTTGGTGGATTATAAACATGAAGTTTTTATTCTTCATTATTGCTTTTTTCTGGAACAACAAAACTTTTGCTTTTATCACAAGGAAGCCAATGGCATGAAGATTTTTTCCTACATAGTGAAAGTGATCTGATTTATCCTGGACTCTTACAATAAGGAATTTATTTTCCTGCTTTTTATATAAACTTTATTTTCTCTTTTTAAATATTTTCCTGGTCCTTTTATTGAAAATAAAATAAATAGGAACAAGAAAGCTGAGGATGAAAACATAATCTTAATAAAGCCCAAGACACCAGAAAAAAATGAGAATATTCAGGTTAGCAGATCCCACAAAGAAGAAATATCTCACCTCTAACGTCATTGGTACATTCTGCTTGCGAACATTATGATTGTGCTGATCAGTGTTCAGCATGATAACTGCATAGGCTAAAGCAAAACAGGCATCACTATTAGCAAATGGAGTCCCATTTGATTTCTGAAAAGAGAATGAGAATGGAAAGCAGATCCAAAATAATATAACTATGGTATTCTATATAACTGAAAGGAAAATGCCAAGAATTTAAGCCACCCCCACCCCCTTCTAAAAATATGACTCAACTGCAAATGTGTATGCATATATATAGTTATTTATTTACTTATCAAACTATGTGTCAATGTTCTGACTGATGAACCCAACCAAGAAAGCACAAGCAAGACAATCCAATCTCTGAATGCAAAACTTTATTGAGTACATCATTTCAGCACTGATTAGGTAAAACCAGATCTAATTAATTCCCACGCAAACCCCACATAATTAAAGTGTAGGATTCTCCTTCCCCCTATTAGTGCAAATCACACTGTCCAATTGAGCCTCATGATATTGTTGTGAGAAAAAGTCTTTGCCTTTTGCAAACACCTTCTTCTGCACTCTGGCTTCTGAGGGTATTTGGATGGAATCTACCTATTAAGTGATCTGCCTGTCAGACCTGGAAGCCATCTTGTACATTGGTCCTTCAGGCCTGCCACATTTACTACTGTGGAAAAATGGGAGGGGGGATTTTATGGAGTATGGGAGATATATAGTCAAAATAACATTCGTTTCTCAGAGAATCAAGTACACCTTGCCTGGGAACTGAGATAAGATGACTGGGAGGCATCTCCAGTTTTGGAAGATGCCTGATTGGACCATGTGGGAACTTGAACTTTCACTTGGGTGTGGAAAACCTGGAAACTTTCAGACTCGGGTTTTCCCAGATGTGCCAATATGACATATCTAATAAAATGGAACTTTGAGGAAACTCAAGCCTCGGAGTCTTCTTTCATTAGGGATGTTACTTGGAACCCTGACATTATCCCGAATCCCCTTTAAAAACTCTACCACCTCCCCTGAACTTCAGTGTGCTGTTCAGGGTCCTGAGCCCCAAGGGTCGACCCAAACTCGGGTGGTGCGAAGACTCAGGTAAGATGGAGGAAGAAAAGAAAACCACGAGGAAGCTACTGGTGATGGTTTGGCGATTTATGTCGAGACCATCTACTCCAGTGGTGAAATTCAAATTTTTTTACTACTGGTTCTGTGGCCATGGCTCGGTGAGCGTGGTGTGGCTTAGTGGCCTTGGCTTGGTGGGCATGGCAGGGGAAGGATACTGCAAAATCTCCATTTCCCTCTCACTCTGGGGCCAGCCAGAAGTGGCATTTGCCAGTTCTCCAAACTACTCAAAATGTCTGCTACCGGTTCTCCAGAACCGGCTGGGTTTCACCCATGATCTACTTCCCTTCCCAAGCTGTGGTGGAAGCTGAAGAAGCAGCGGAAGGAGAATGCCAGCTGGATGCCGGGCACAAAGAACCCACGCTTGAGCGGAGCCTGCAGGTGGACCTGACCCTGAAAAACAAAGCTGCGGGACACACTCCATTTCCTATGTTCAGCTTTCCAAGCCACAAAATGACAGTGCAACTGAGTGGAGCGTCAGCCTCTTTCTACTTGGTACAGGACGGCTGGGCCCACAGCCTCACACCTCGGACTAGACTCACTGCAGCCATGGTCACTACATGGATGCAGGTGACCCAACAACCAAACCTGCTGAGCCAACCCAGGCAGGGGATGCAGGGACCATAACAAGGCTTTTTGGGCCTCACTATCCTATCACAGCAACCTGTCTTTGGACTAATGCCAGCAGCCCAAATCCCTCCTGGATGGACATTCTATCCTGGCCAAGGATGCATGCAATACCAGTGGGCGCTGGCCCCAGTTCAGCAACCAATGCTGTTCCAGCAATTTGGCTCCTTCCAGCCGCCAGTCATTACTCCGCAGCAGGTGCTGGTCCAACCGCAGCCACAGCTGCAGTCTCAGGACATGATCCCTCAGCAAGTCCCAATCCAACAATAGGTGCCTGTGATCCCGCAGCAGGTTCTGGCCCAACAGCAGGTGCCAGGCCAGCAACTTGTGCAAACTCAGCAGCAGATCCCATCAGCCGTTCCCCCTCCATGGTTCCGAGCAATATCTGACGGGACCCCAGGGAAGCTAGCCTACTTTCTCAACTGAGTATGGACCCATGTCGACCAGTATGGAAATTAATATCCATCTGATCGGGAATTGATTTCCACCATTGTTGACGGCATGAACAAAGGAGAGGCAGTGGAATGGATAGCTGAGCTTCACAACAAAGAAGCCCCTGAGCTAGAAGATGTTTGCCTAACTGATGCGGCCTCAATTTGCCAACATGGCTCATCAAGTCAAAGCACAGACTCAAATTAAGGCTGGAAAGCTAAGGGACTGGCCAGAGCGTCTCCTAGAACATACTTTTAAGGAGGCCCTCGACCCAGATCTCAGGAAAGTCTGTGGCATCAGGGGAGTACCAGATCATATACAAGCATGGTACAACACAGCTATTGCTTTGGATCTGGAAATCCACCCCCACAGGAAGCCAGCAGCGGACAAGCCAATGAGGAGACCCCTGGGACACCAAGCTGAGGTGAAGAAAGCTGAGGCACCGCTTCTCACACCATCCAGGACTGTCAAATACTACCGGTTTGGCCAGCACAGGCACTGGGCTTGACCCCGGTGCCAGTTCCCCAAACCCGGGACAAGATGAACCCCACAGAAGCCGCCAGATAAAAGATCACTTGCCAAGTAAGTTGTAGAGGTTCCGCTCCTTCCTAATGAAGTTGAGGGAACTCCAGTCAGTGATACCCTTCAAAACCTCATGGGGGAGAGCAGTGGCAATGATGATCCGATGATAAGTGCAGCCATCTGCCCCTTTACTATCAAAACTAAGATAGTAGTACCAGAAATGGGGTCAAAAGGGAAGTAGAGCCTGTCTTAGACACAGGCTGTACTCAATGCCTAATCAGCCTCCCCATAGTTGAGCAGTTAGGCATACGCACGAGACCCCTAGCACGGGACTTCATTCAATCTGCAAGGTCCAAAGTAGCAGCACCGTTACTTTTCAAAGAAAAGAAAGAAAGGGGGGGGGGGATGAGGCTTTGATTTTCATGGAATTAATACTGTGTGCGTGGAGAATACCTACCCACTCTACCCCTCATGAAGGACATGCTAAATCACTTGTCCAACGGAAAGGTCTTCACCAAATTAGACTTAAGAGAAGCATATTACCGCATAAGAATTAGAGGGGGGATGAATGGAAAACTGCCTTCAGCTGCCTGCTTGGCAGCTTTCAATTTAAAGTTTCCACCCACTTTTTGATTGAGTGGGTCTTATGGAGTGAAAAATACATTATACTGAAAGGCAGAATTTCCTTCCATTTCATCTGAGTAGGAATGGCGCGGCAAAATGAGCAAACGCAATGGTGGAACAACAAATAAGATGCTAAGTCTGCTCTCTCTGTGGGCATGTGAGCAGTCGCCCCACCTCGGCTCCACCGTGCATGCGCGCTCATCTCCCACCAGCCAGCTGATTTTCAGGTCTCTGCCATGCATGCAGGAGATGAATGTGCATGTGCAGGGGGCTATCACACGTGCATGCAGCGCGGGCCCCCTACGCCCAGTTTTTGGTCCCAGGAGGCTTTAGGGAGGCCTGCTAAACCTAAAACAAAGCCCCATTTTTGGTCCCAGGAGACACCTCCATGCCCTGTTTGGTCCCAGGAGGCCTGCTAGGCCCAAAACATGACATGGTGGGCACATAGGGGGAGCGCAAGGGTGTCACAAGTGCATGTGCGGGGGGTTGTCGCACATGCATTGCATTATGGGTGTGGGCACACATGCACGCACTATCTCCTGGATCACAAATGGTTCCTCGGGGTTCGGGTGCTTTAGGATCAGCCTGGCTGCAAACAGCCTCTTAAGTCCAGTTTAGCGGCCGGTTGGCTAGGATTTTCCCCCCTCCCCCAGTCTTCAATAACTTCATGATCAATAAGGTGATCTTTGCAAAGGAGAGGATGAATTGCTTATAGAAATTTGCGAAGCCCAGGAAACTTTACAACTGCTTGCAGGTTCATGGGGTTTGCCATTCTAAGATGGCTTTCACCTTCCCTGGATCCATTTCCACTTCACAAGACACCCTATATCCTATGTAATCTAGGCTGGTCTTATGGAGTTCGCATTTTGACAGTTTGGCATACAACATGGCATTCAGGAGTTTTCCCAGTACTTGGTATACTAGTTTTACGTGTTTCTCCATTATCTCAGGGTAGATGAGAATCTCAACTAGATACGCCAAAATCCCTTTGTATTGATGCTCATGCATCACTTCATTTATTAGCTACATAAACACAGCTGGGGCTCCTTGTAGGCCAAAGCAGCATCCTAACAGGCAATTGAAGTCTTCCATTCCTTACCTTCTTTGAGTCTCACTTGATAGTATGCCTGAGTTCCAGTTTGGTAAACACCTAACCCTAACCCTTTTGCTAAATGTCCCAGCATATCTTTCATGTGGGGGAACAGGTACATGTTTTCCACACCTACACCATTTATCCACCTAAAATCTATGCATAATCTCAGTGATCCATCTTTTTTCTCCTTAAATAGTATGCGGCTCCTACTCGGGATTTTGAGAGCTGAAACCCTGGCCAAGTTTTTATCAGTGTAATCTCTCAACTCCCCCATCTCCTTAGGAGTCATCAAGTACATCTTGTGCTTCAGAGGTTTTGCCCCTGGCAGGATCTCAATTGAACAATCCATGGGATGATAAGGGTGGGGGTAGGACATTGTGTTCCTTCTCACTGAGCACCTCTGCTAAGTCCTGGTATTTTGGGGGGATGGTCTCACTTTTGGCAACAATTCCCAGTTTTAGGTGCACTGGTTCCATCAGGAAGGAGGCAGGCAAGCTTGCCATGATGGAGCCACTGACCTGCTTGAATTTCATTGGTTGGCGTATCTTTCTCATTCACAATCTCAACTTCTGCTCTGTCTATAGGCTGACTAAGCATCCAGTGTACCCTGAGTCAATTAGGGCTATTATGACCCACTTCACCCTCAAGTGGGATATTATGATCTCCTCTTGGGCCGACAGGGTGTGATAAGTCTCACCATTGGGTCGTCTTCCCCCTCACTGTCGGTCTTGTAGCGAGTCAGCTGGGGATCCTCCCCTTCATTGCTTGGGGGGGGTGGAGAACTCTAAGACTTGGGGTACCACTCACAACGTTTTCCTCTGCTTGGGTGGCTTCCTCGGTTTTGCTGGGCTCAGGGCCAAAATGGGCGCCAGTGCTGGGCAGACTGCTGCTATCTGGCCCTCTTAGTCGCATAGGAAGTATAACCTAGGTCCGTGCCTCGAGGCTTCAGAGGGGGAAGTCATTTTCGTGATGGTAGCTTTCTGCCTCAGTGGGCACCTCTGGCTCCTTTTCAGGTGACCCTCTGTTCCTCCGCTTTGCTTATACTCCACTAGGTCTAGATCCACACTTATTGCTGCCTGATACCAGTCATTCATTTGCTTAGGTTTTCTGTGAGGAAGGCACATGTGGTATAACTTTTGGTTCAGATCGTTTCAGAAGTAGTGGACCAGGAGTCTCTCCAGCCAATGCCTCATCCTCCCCACAGCCTTCGGAACTCATCAATGTATTCAGCCACCAGTTTGCTCCCTTGCTTGATGACACAAATGTTGGATTCCGTCTGCCAAACTTGCGTGTTGTCCCCAAATCGGGCTCTGAGCTATCCCAGGAAAGCGATGAGGTCCTCCAACTTGGGAGCCCCTTCATCTTGGAGGCCTGTCACCCATTCCGCTGCCTCTCCCTCTAGGTTTGCCACAATGGCTTTTAAAAGTCACATTGTTGAAGTAAGCTGGCCCGTATCAATCCAAATGAGTCCACATCTAATTAAAGAAGAATGCCAGCTTCTCTGGACTCCCATCAAATGTGGCCTTGATTGGTGGGGGGCCCAGTATCCCTGCAGCCATCCCACCCCATAGCGAAAGGGCCAGGGCTGTGCAGCTGCCACCGGTTGTGCTTGGGGCTTCCTAGCAATCCTGTGTGGTTGTCCTGCCACCTGTTGGGATCCAGCAGCACCTTGCAGGGGAATAGGTGTGACGTGGGTGTACCGAGGTGCACCCACAATCGCTCGCACGGCTGCATTCTGGACAAGCTGCAGTCTCCGAATGCTCTTCAAGGGCTGCCCCATGTAGAGCGCATTACAGTAGTCCAGTCTTGAGGTCACAAGGGCATGAGTTCTGAGTGCCTCCCGGTTCAGGTAGGGATGCAATTGGTGCACCAGGCGAACCTGGGCAAATGTCCCCCTGGTCACAGCTGACAAATGGTGTTCTAAAGTCAGCTGTGGATCCAGGAGGATTCCCAAATTGCGAACCCTGTCTGAGGGGCGTACAGTTTGACCCCCAGCCTGAGAGATGGAATACTTGGCCAATTGTTGGGAGGGAAACACCCCAGCCACTCAGTCTTGTCCGGATTGAGTGCAAGTTTGTTAACCCCCATCCAGACCCTAACAGCCTC